ACTACCAGATGCTAATGTAGTACCGTCAGGAGAGAAACAGACTGAATAAACATAATTTTAATGACCATCTAATTTGGCATATTATTATCCTGTCTTAACATCCCATAAACAGATAGACTTATCTCCACTACCAGATGCCAATGTAGAACCATCAGGAGAGAAACAGACTGATGAAACCCAATATGAATGACCATCTAATTTGACTTTTTATTATCCTGTCTTAAAATCCCATAACCGAATAGAATTATCTCCACTACATGATGCTATTGCAGTACCATTTGAAGAAAAACAGACTGATTTAACTATGCCAGAATGACCATCTAATTTGGCTTTTTACTATCCTGTCTTGATATCCCACAAACGGATAGAGTTATCTCCACTACCTGATGCTAATGTAGTACCATCAGGAGAGAAATAGACCGATGTAACTGTGCTAGAATGGCCATCTAATTTGCCATTTTAATACCCGGTCTCAATATCCCATAAAAGGATAGATTTATCTCCACTACCTGATGCTATTGTACGACCATCAGGAGCGAAACAAACTGATGAAATTCCTATCGAATGACGAACAAATTTGGCTTTTTATTTTCCTGTCTTAATATCCCATAAACGAACAGATTTATCTCCACTCCCAGATGCTAATTTAGTACCATCAGGAGAGAAACAAACTGATGTAACAGTGCTAGAATGACCAGCTAATTTGGCCTTTTTTTATCCTGTCTTGATATCCCATAAATGGATAGACTTATCATCACTACCTGATGCTAATGTAGTGCCATAAGGAGAGAAACAGATTGATCGAATGCAATCAGTGTGACCAATAAATTTTAATACTTATTTTCCTGTGTTAAGATTCCATAAATACACAAATTCACCACTGCAAGATGCTGAAATTGTATTCTTAGGAGAGAAGCATACAGAATTTACCTCCCTATTTCCTTTTATTACACATTTTATTTTCCCTGTTTTCACATCCCAAAAACGAATGGATTTATCGTCACTGCAAGATATTAATTACTAGCCATTAAAAGAAAAGTAAACTTAGTTTACAGTACTATGATGGCCATCTAAGATGCGTAACTCTTCTATTCTTAGATTCATCCATTTACAATTAAATAATTTAGCTTCATTCAAATTCATTCCACTAACAATGACATTTTCAAATTCAGATCCACTTAAGTCACATCTCATCAAATTTGCTCCTAGTAAAGAAGTATTTCTTATTCTAATATTTTCAAAAGAGTATCCCTTCAAATCAACCTTTATTTACACTAATAAATGAAGAGAATTTGATCCACACTATATAAATCTCTCATCTAAAGCAGTCAGATTAACTAAAAATTTTAATAATTCTATGATCTTCTTATCCTAAGATATTTTTGCGATCAGATCTTATTTAATTTCTTTATATTCTTCTCCAGAGTAATTATATCTATTAAAATCATGATCCTCAATTTTTTTGAGAACTTCAAATATTCTTTTAACATTATTCTTTCCAAAATTGAGTATCTACTCTTTATCAAGTATCGATTAAATTGTTACCTCTTATCTTTCTTTTTCTATTTGCTATATATTTTGATATTGTGAGAAAAAATTTAGGCAGTCTTGGGTTTTCTCTCTCTCCAACATTTTAATGAGGATAAGGAAGTCCACTTCATCAATAGCTTTAGATTAAGCCAAAAGCCCATACAAATCTTCAACCTGCTATTTTTTACAATTCATTCTTTTTTTAAATTATGTTCAATTTTTTTTACTAATTTTGAGTTTTGAACTATAAACCAAATACTATATTCACTGTTTTAGTTAGGAAGTAAAGCGAATTTTTTTTTTAAATGTGGAATTGATGAATATTAAAAAAGTGGCTCTTGACGTAAACTTGTAAATATCCCGGTTCTTTATGAATATAAAAGATCCATAAGAGATGAACAACATTTCTCTTCTCTATCAGAATCAACCCTTTTAGGAGTTTAAGAGCTTAAGTGTTGTAAGGGATAGGAGATATAATGAGGTTTACCCCTCCTATTCTTGAATCTGATAATATTTATAGGGCTGTGCAATATTGTGTAATGCTAAATCGAGAATGAGGTAAAAGAGTTTTTGAGGACACTTCTTACAACCTGAGTTCAAGCACCTCGAGGGCCCATCGATCATAATCGATACTTTCACAAACTATTGTAACTTTGAGGAGAAGGATATGAAGTCTAAAG